TTGAGTACAACTTGTTTTTATTTATAAGAGACACTTAGTCTTTCTTAAGGATGGAACGGTCGTCCCAAACATATGTTTGGAAAGAAAAATGCACGTCGAACAAATTTTTTTTATTAGATTAATCTTTTGCTTTGCTCTACAATGTTGGTTGAGCCTAAAGTTTTGTTTTGTGTGTTTTTATTTTTTATTTTTTTCCTTTTGTGGTTAGTTACATTGGGTTGCTATCTGTTTGCCTCTATCATCATACTTTTTGAACCCATTATTACCATTTTCTGAATTTACCCACTTTTCTTTTTTCTACTAGCATGCCTTTACTGTGTGGGTGTGGTATAAGTTTTTCCTAATGTGTGTTATAAATGATCTTTTATTAAATGAGACTTCTTTAAGTAAATGTTTGGCTACGTTTGATCTCTTAATTATTTTTTGTTATTTTTTATTTTTATATATGTATTTACTAAATATATATAAGCAAATGTGTTTAAGTATTTGTAATTTTTAATCAGATGTTGTCTCTAATTTTTTTGGGTTAATTTCTTATTTTGCTCCACTTAATTACTCATATTTATATTATTGCATTTATTATTTAAGGTAAATTGTTTAGATAGTGAATTCTCTCCCTTATACTAACTCCCCCATAAATAAGGATATTTTTCCGAAAAAAATTACTTTTTAACCAAATTTTTTGACATCGTGATTCAACTAATAATCTCTTACAAAAAAGGAATAGATGGAATAACTAATTTATAGAGATTAATAAAATTATTTTAGTTAATTATTTATAAAAAAAAATATGTTTGTTGTAAACTACTCTATTAATTGCAAATTAATATGTGGTTACTTGTGATTATTATAGATTGGTTATAATTTATTGGTTTGAGCATAGGGCTTAGTTTGATTGTGTTATAATATAGCTTTGGTAAAAAGTAACTAGCCACTTTCCACTTATTATGCATGCTTGTATAATATTTGTGAGTGGTTTTGAATTATATGACATTTTTGAAATGCCATTGGCCTATGATTGAGTAATGACATGTATATATTCTTGTTGAAATTGCCTTGAGATACTTTATGTTGTTAAAACTATGATTTTATAAACTTGTCTTATGAGACATGATTTTATTAGGTTTTGAGGATTGATATTGATGAATGAAGTTAGCAAGCTTGATTTTGGCAAACGTGAAAAGTTATAAATCTCATAAGTATATATACGAGAAGAGATGGCGAACATTGATTGATGGAAGACATATTACAAAGGAAAGAAGGGGGTGAATTTTATACATATTATAGAGGTAATAGGGTGGTAGGATGCTAGATGTACACTGGTTGCTTCTTTAGCCCTTTCCTTATATTATAGGGTGATGACACCCTGCCAGTGGACTAGAGGAGGAACCTATGGTTTGGTCTTATGCTTTGTGAATTTTGGCTAGTCCATATCACTTAATCGGTGAGCTTATTGTGTTAAGCTATTTGTCACATGGGTGAGTATTAGCCTATGGGTTCTGTTAGAGGAAATGAAGTGGGAGGAAGTAAAAGGGATTCAAGATTAAATTAGTCCATATTAATGTGCGCGTAACCATGTGATAAGTATGAATATTATGTTTTTTGTAATTTTCTCACTCGACATCTCACCAGCACTTACTTTTATGCCTAATGACTAGGATTGTTGGTTACCGAGACATTGGTCTCACCGTGTGGTTTCTAACATACTCAAGTGATAGCTCTAGGACTGGTTCATCAGGAAAGGCATAGGAGGCTTATCTATCAAGTTAATTTTGTATAGCCTCTTTTTTATTATGTGATGGGTATTTATATACTACTACATATAAGGTTCATTTTGCATACTCTAATTTATTTAAGATTGATTGTTTTAGATACACACTTTTGACAAATTCTTATTGGATTGCATGCTGGTAGAAGGCTAGAGACCTTAGGTGTTTGCTTGTGTTTGTGAGTTATGGATCCGTAATGCCTTTTAGGTAGAACTAGAGTATTCTAAAGTCACATTAGACTTGAGGCTAATCCCTTTCGTGTCGAGAGCGGTTAAGGAATAGTCCTCCCAACAAGTGCACTTCTCAGGATTCAAATTTGAGTTCTCCTCCTTACGGGGGTGAAGCCACTATCAACTTAACCAATAGCTTGTTGGTTATTTTTGAAAAGTTATGAAAGATGATTATTCAAGAAACATCTTGTTGTGGACTTCTTGTTGAATATGACATTCTGGGCTTTGTAATGCCCAAGGCCTGGTTATTGTGAAACTTTGTTAATATTGGATTGGATGCGACTGTTGCAATAAAACTCTAATATCCATGGATATGATAGTTATTAAATGTTTTTAGTTTGATTTTTTTACATGTATAAGTATTAAAAGATAAGATTACACTACAAAAAACAGCTCGTTACTGACAGAATTAGCGACAAAAAATTATTCTGTCACTAAAATTAGTCACATATTAGCAACGAAATAAAATTGTTGCTAATTCGTTGAAAAATCCATCAGTAAATATTTAGCGACGGAATTTTTTCCGTCAAAAATTTCTGTCACTAATTCCTTCACAAATTGTAATTGCAAAATTCTAGCAATGAAAAATTATTCCATTGCTAAATTGTTTGTCAACAAAATTTCTATCGCTAATTTTAAATTTCATTATTTTAGATTATAATCTTACAACAATTTATATAATAACATAATTAAGAATATAATAATTTAAATATACTTTTAGTTGTAAAATAAATTGTTTTATTTGTGGAGTTAGTGCTAAAAAAGATATCATTGTCATTTATCTCTTTATTAGATATATACTGAGAATAGGAAGATAATTTCTTAGAAAACTTATTTATATTTTATTAAAATCAATTCCTCTTTATTATTAATAATAATTTAACAAATATGATAAGAATATTAATAACTTTTGCATGCAAATTGATGTAAGAAAGAAATGATTCTATTATATGTACAATATTTTGAAAAATATAATACATGATAGAAATTTAAAATCGAAAAATGAATTTATATGAACATCTCAATTTATTATTATAAGTCAAACTAATCTTGAAGTGAGTTTTGAATTTCAATTATTAAACAATAAAATTTGATTATGATATAATTAATACAAATAGATTAATTTTTGTCTTCAATGTACAAACAAATGGTATATAGAAAGAATTTTAAGAAAATAAATTTTATAGAATACATATATAAATAGGAGAATATTGTTTATCAGAATCTATTCAAATCATTTATTTTTTATATAAAATAATCTATTAGATTTTATTGTGGTAGCTATTTTTGAATAACAAGATTTTTTTTTCACAAATTATAAATGGTTTTAATCAAATATATAAGACATATATAGATAATATAATATAATGTAATATATATATATAATTAAACTATATATCTTATCAATGTTAATTAAAAAAATTAAATTTTAAAAATATTTTTATGAAAAATTATTTACAATTTAAAATTCAAAATTAGCATCGTTAGAAATTAATATTATATTAAAAAAATTTAAAAAAATAAAACATTATAAAAATAAATAGTAAAACAAATATTTAAAAATTATTTTGTCACAAAAATAGTTATGATTAAAATTAATATATAGTTTATTTTTATTTTTATTTTTTAATAATGTATATGTGTATATATAATTGTTTGTGTAAAAGAATATTATATACATATATATATATAATTTTGCATAATAAGTTAGTAAGGTCATTACAGCTTAACTGGTGAAGCTACAGCGTGCACAGTGAAGGGCCTTGGTTTAAGCCGTGGAGAAGAAGTCACTTTAAGAAAGAGGAATTATGTGGTGGCGATACGTAGTAGGCGGCAGCGGCATGTGGAGGTGGTTGGCGGCCATTGCCAATGATGAGGTGGTAGCTGGTAGAGATGCCATGTAGCATTTTATTTTATTTTTTAAAAAAATCATATTACAGACAGAATTTTTCTGTCCCTAGAAGAAAATCTTCCGTCACTAATGCAATTCCATTGCTAAATTCCCCTCGCTAATTGCATCTTTTTTGGTAGTTTTATCTCTTTTAATCATGATAGATGTTTTCAAGAATTGTTTATTTAAATGCTTTTCTATCATGGTTGACGTTTTTTATTATTAAAGTTTCTTTTATTGCCATGGTAGTAATTTTAAATGTTTTACTAAGTTTCTTTTTTACCATGGCTAATATTAATCAATTGTGATTTTTAAAGGTTGGTAACTGGTTTAGAAGAACCGATGTTACAAGAAGGCTGGTTCATCATGTTATAACTGAGGTACAAATAACCTTATGATTTTCTTTCATTCCTTAATTAACACAATATAAATTTCTAATTTTTTTATTACTTATTACTTAGGAACACTTAAAGGAATCTTTTGGTCATCACGCAATTGAACCTTGTGTCCAATCAAATGAAGACAGCCTGAGATGGTTGGCTTTGATTGCTGTATGTTAATATGGACGACAACTTTGTTACATTGAGTGAGTCTGAAGATTGTGGGGCGGGTTGTTGAACTAAAAGTCTCCAAGTAGGATCTTATTGATCTCATTTTTCTATTGGCTGAACATATCAACTTTTTGTTATGTAAGTATGCTTTTTTGTTTTCAATTTATTATTTATGATTTTTTTTGTTTGTTTATTTTCCATTATCATAAATATCTCCACAATATCTACAATTAATTACGTAGGAACAATGATTATGGACTCTTGTGCCCAAATTTTATTCAATCCTCAGGAAATATTATAATTGAGAGCATGTCACATATTGAAAGGAACAAAACAATAAGTGTCAGTTTGCAAATGGAGAGACATTTAATTCTAATTAATCTTTCTTTTTTAAATGAGAACACAATTCTAATTCATCTTTTAGCTAAGTGAAAACTTTCATAATGATATGATATTAATATAAACTCCTATTGTGGTGATTATTGGAGGCTACTTGTTATTTGCCCATACCAAAGTATATATTGGTTCTGTTCTTTACAATGGGCAGTAGGTGAAGATATGAAGAGAGTTTTGTTTTTTGGACCAAGAGAAGCATTCAAATAAAAGAGCCACAACAGCGTAGGAGTTCGACCAAACAAGAGTCCAAGCAAAGGACAAAAGATAAACAGCAAGAGTCAAAAGAAACACCAAAAAGCTAAAAGGAAACAAGGGAATGAAACAAAGACAGCGCATAGGCAATTCCTCCCCGGTCATGGAAATCAGATTAGTTGGCAGCAGGAGGGGTACTGTTAGATCGTCCAGACGTGGCTGCATCACGAGATAGAACGGAAGATAAAGAAAGTGTTGATGAGGGCATCCACCCTGGAGGGCACACCTTCCTGCAAACAGAGGATGCAACTAAATCAATCGCTTGGTTCCCTTCTTAGAGTGAGAAAGAGAACTTAAAATCAGACTGTGATTTGACTAAGTCTAGAGTTTCCAGGAAAATAAACCAGTTGCTCCAATCGCATCTAGTAGGGGAAAAGGTTTGAAGGCTTGAGAAAAGATCTTCATTATCAGTCTAAAAAATAACCGAGGTTAGGTTAAGCTCCCCACAAAAAAGAATTACCTTATGGACTGCCAGAAGTTTTGTAGCAAAAGCAGAAGTAGCAGTCACACCTTCCCCAAAAGCCCACAACAAATTTCTCGTGTTATCACGGCACACAATTCCTATCGCGGCAAAGTTATCATTTGGCATAAAAGAGCCATCGCAATTAATTTTGATCTAACCTGGAATCGGAGGTTGCCAAGAGGTGATTCTTGTAGAATTCTGACAAGAAGTTTCAGTGAGTAGGGAGTCTAAGGCATCCCAGGATTCTTTGACACTACTGCAAGCTCGGTTCAAAACAGTAATAGGATCTAGGGTTTTGAAGTTAAAAATAGCTTCATTCCTAGCTCTCCAGACCAACCAGACGATCCAAGCTATTAAGGAAAGATCCCTCTCTTCCATGTTTGATTGGTTGCTAAGTATCTTAGCTATCTATCCTTCAAAGGAGGTAATAACATTTTGATCAACTCGCAATGAAAGTTGGCTTCCAAACTAGATACACCTCACCCATGGGCAAAAGAATAAAAGGTGCTCTAGTGTTTTAGGCTCAGAGTGACAGACAGGACAGAGAGGTTGGATAGAGCAGTGTCTTCTAAAAAAAAGCCTCTCGAGTAGGCACAACTTTAGAGCAGCATCTCTAGATAAAATGTATAATCTCGAGAATTGTCTTAATCTTCCATAAGTTTGACCAGAATTCCCTAGAGAAATAGAAGGAGGTACTAGGTTTGGAGTTGGAGATATTATGACCCAAAATGGTCATTTTATAACCTTGTTTGACTGAGTACACGCCATTCCTAGCCTTTGTCCACATCAAGTTATCCCTATGATTGAGAAAGTTAAGTATGATATTACTTATTAGGGATAATATTTCTGTAGGGATTACATTAGATACGCTAGAGAAATTCCAATCACCATTCTCCATTATCAAGTCCACAGTAGTGTTTAGGACATCATTCAAATTCAAGCAAGCTTTAAGAGACTTACCCGGCAGCTCTGGTATCCAATAGTCTTTCTAGAGAGAAACAGATTTTCCATCACCCAGTAGCCACTAACTGTCTTTTTCCATTAAATCTCTTCCTGCTAGAATGCTAGTCCACATCCATGAAGCCCGATAGCCTTTCTCAGCTAACATAAAAGAAGAATTAGGAAAGTACACACCCTTAAGCACCTTGACCCAAAGGGTATGCTCTTCTTGAGTTAGTCTCCATGTAGTTTTCGTCAAAAGGGAATCATTGAGAATTTCAAAGTCCCTAAATCCTATACCACATGCAGTTTTGGGTCTTTTTAAATGCTCCCAGGCTTTGTAATGGAGGTGTCTGCCATTATCGCAGCCTTCCCACCAAAAGTTGGAAATAAGTCTGTCAAATTCTTTACATGATTTTTGAGGGAATTTAAAAGATGTCATGGGGTATATGGGTATGGCATTTACAACTGCTATATCATTGTTTCCCTACCTGCATAAGATAGAAGGTTCTGTTTCCAACCTTGTGTTTTTTTTTTTTTACCAATTGTTTCCTTTACAAAAGCTAGAGCTTGTTGTTTGGATTTTCCCCAAGTACTTGGGACACCCAAATATCAACCAGGATCTTTGGCTACTGGAATTCCCAAGATGGTACTTACATTTTCTCTGATCTTTGCTGGAGTACTTTTTGAAAAAATGAGCCTAGATTTGCTTAAGTTCGCTTGCTGGCCAGATAAGGAGCAATAGAGCTGTAGCAGGTTGGCTAGTTTTCTGCAATTACTTTCTTCGACGTTTATGTATAGAAGAACATCATCAGCAAAGAAGGAATGGGATAGCATAGGGCATTGATTTGTTAATTTGATGCCTTTTAACATTTTCCTGTCAACATGCTTGTTAAGCATAGTAGAAAGAACTTTCGCCACTAAAATAAAAAGGTAGGGGAAATGGGATCCCCCTATTTGAGGCCCCTTCCCAGATTTAAAGAGCTAACCTCCTACCTGAGAGACATATATTCAGTTGGACAGAAGACACACATGCCATGATCAGGTCAACCTACATCGAACAGAATCCCACTTTCAACATGACAGCCTTTAAAAAATCCCATTCAACCCTGTCGTAAGCCTTACTCATATCCATTTTGAGCGCAAATTCGTATTTTCCACCACTCATTTTTCTTTTCAGGTAGTGGAAAACCTCGTGTGCAGTGATAATATTGTCTTGGATTAGGCGCCCAGGGACAAATGCACCCTAATTCAGGGAAATGCACTTATGCAGAAATGGTAACCGATTAGCCAAAAGTTTAGAAACAATCTTAAAGGAAAAGTTGCATAGTCCACTCAGCCTGAATTGGGTTATTGACTCTGCCTTCTCTACCTTTGGGATTAACATCAAGTTTGTTTCATTAGGTTTACTCAAGTCACTTTTTCTGAGAAAAAAGTCCTTTGCAAAATCACATACATTCTTGCCTACTTCCTCCAAAGAGCAATGATAGAATTTGCCATTAAAACTGTCTGGGCCAGGTGCTTTGGACCCACCCAACTGAAACGCTGTATCTTTTATTTTAGTATCCAAAATTGGGGCTATTAACACTGCATTGTCTTCATCATCAATCACCATATCAACATAGCTTAACACATCTGAGAAGTCTCTACTTTCAGAAGCCCTGAATAAATGAAGGAAGTAATCTGCTATGCTATCAGCAATATCATTCTCATTATCTGCCCATGTAGCATCCTCTTTTTTCAGCCTTGTAATAGAGTTCCTTCGGTGTCTCTGGATAGTTGATACATGAAAGAATTTAGAGTTACGTTCACCCTACTTCAGCCACTGAATTCATGACCTTTGCCACCAATAAGATTTTTCCCTTTCCCAAGCTTTTTCCAGTTCTACATTTAAGTCTTCTGCCCTTTTTAACTTGTCTTCAGTGAAATTCCCTTCATAACACTTTGCCAGATTCACTTTTAACTTCTCAATTAATTTCAAGCAGTTAGGGAAAACTCTATTACTCCAACAGATAAGTGCCTTTCTATAATTATTTAACCTGCTAAGAAATTCTTCAACCTTACTAATATCTATGTTCACCATGCTATTCCAGCTATCTCTCAGAGTAATTTTAAAATCAGGGTGATCCAGCCAATAATTCAAATTTGAAGGAAAAGGGGGCTTGGCTTTAATATAGAAAAAAACATAGATCAATTAATAGTAAAAAGTGATATGAGCCTAGAGGTTCAAGATAAAATACCTGAGCTTTGGGAAATGCTTCTCGTAAAGCTACATTTGCTAGAGCTTTGTCCAACTACTCCTTGACATGAGCTTTATTAGTGCATTTATTACACCAAGTGTACTCAGATCCATTGAAACCCAGGTCTATTAAGCAACAGTCTGAGATTTGTTTCTAAAAATTCAAGATTTTCCTGATTGCTTTTAGCCTTCCTCCCCACTTTTCCTGCTCGCTAGTAAGATCATTAAAGTCACCTACACAAATCCAAGCCCCACTTATACCACGTGATATGTGTAGGATCTTCCCCCAAACGCTTCTTCTTTATCTCTCTTTTTGTGGACCGTAAACGCAGGTGATGAATCTAGGAACTAAAACTGTATTTGATGTCAGCGCACAATAAATAATGTTCTGTGACGAAAACAAGATATCCATTATAATCTCTGGAGTCCACCAAATAGCAAGACCACCACTTAAACCTTTTGGGCTTACAATCCAATTTTCATCAAAACCACACTGTCAGCATGTCCTCTCAACCACCTTATCCTTCTGTTTGGTTTCCATTAGGAAAACCAAATGGGGTTTATTTTTCCTGCAAACCTCCTTAAGGTTCTTTGCTGTCAGGGACACCCTTAATCCCTGGCAGTTCCACGAAATGGCCCTTATGGTGACTTGAGGGCTATTTGAGGCTAGCCACTCGTGCCTTTATTTGGGTGAGAACCAGAAACATTAGATTCAGAAGATTGAGGATGAGAAAAGGCCAGTTTTCTGTGTAGATGTTGCTTAGTTCTTCTGACATTTTTACGAGCAATAAAATTCCTCTTCGGCTTGTCATCCTTACTGCCACTTCCTTCAAGGAATGAACACTCAGATAGTTCGGGGGGTTGCTTCTTCCGTTCGGCTAGTTGAGGAGATTCGATAGGTAATGGGGACCCTTTTAGTTTCAAACCATCCAGACATTCAACTACCTTTGAGACTGGAGAATTTGCTTCATAGGGGATGAACGCCAGGTGTTTACTCGATACTTCTTGGGTGAGATTCACCACAATTCCACTTCTGCCTCCAGTGGTTTTAGTCTCCAGTTTTCCTAGGTTAATATTAACGTAATTGTTTCTATTCCCCTTTCTACTTGGGCTGACTTTATAAAACAGTCTCATTGGAGATCCAATTGCCAACATCTTTTCGGCCCAAGTCTATGGGCCTGAACTGCAATCTATTCTTGGCTTGCCCCTTCCCTCTCAACTTCTTTTCCTTTTCCCATCTGGTCCGCAGGTTGTCCTTGCTTTTTGCCACGTATCTCTGTCTGTCTCTAGGGAGTCAAATCTTTTCTGACCAAGCCGTAATCCCCACCTTGCTGCTTGAGGGTGCCACCACTTTGTACCTCCTTGTCAGTAATGCATGCCCTATTTACGTTATTGTTACATGCTAGCGTCATCTTCCTCGGCCGACATTTGCACCAGCTCTCATCCACGTACTCCAGTAGATCCTTCATGACTCTTGGTGGCATGGCTTTAAGGCAAGGTCCATAACCTGAATCATCTTCCTTAGATAAATGTGGAGATAGATAGTTCTTTTGCTTGTGTCCCAATATGCCACAGCGATAACATATAATAGGCAGACATTCATATTTTACCTCAGTCCATACATCTTTCTTACCTTCCCTAGCAACCTAAAAACCAGTATTTTAACCTGCAATAAGATTTGTGCTCGTAAAAAGTTTCTAACCAATCAACCTTCCTTCACGGGGTTTTCAACCATAGCAACTTCCCCAATGATAGACCCCAAGTGGATCACATTTTCACGATTCATGAACATAAAGGGTAGCCCATGAAACTGAATCTAGAAAGGGCTTCTATCAAACTATACTTCCCTAACCAACGTTTCATCATCCCATACCTAAAGATTTAACAGATAGGATTGAATAGCCCAAGGGTGACCACTAAAAAATCTTCATATAATCTTTTGGGAAAACCATATTGGAGGTACCTATACTTTCTCTCAATTTTTAATTTGGTACCTATGTGTTTTTTTCCCTTTAATTAAACATTTAATTTTATCTTTTTAGCAACATTAGCTCTTATAACTTTGTTCTATTGATATTTTTAGTCTCTACATAAGGATTAATGATGTTAATAGAGCAAAATTAAAGATTTAGTTAAGAACAAAAAACACATAGGTACCAAATTGAAAATTGAGAGAAAGTATAGGTACCTCCAATATGGTTTTCCCTAATCTTTTCGGTTAGCAAATTGGAAAACAAAGGTGTTCTTCTCAATATCCAGGATCTCTATTTCTCTCGTTAGATTCCACCCCTTCTGGACCATGGAGATCACCGTACCCCTGTTTAGTTCTTCTGAAACCTCCAATCAGCCAATAAGGGCACCTCTTGTCAAAGACTAATGGTTCCGCTCTAAGGTTATCGCCTTTTGAGACCCATAATGGCCCCCTTGTTCACTCTCCATCAAAGCTTCCCACCTCCCACCTCCTTACCACCTAGAATGAGCAGAAGGAAACACCTCACAAAACACTCAACCTCACACTTAGCTCTCTGAATACTCACTAACTAGAAGGATTAACAAAGCACACTCACTTTAGACTATCACAGTGGGTAATAGTCGTAAAAAGGAAAGGTTGTGATGGTGACAACAGAAAAAGAAAGGAAGAACGATTGAAAAGGACCACCCAGATGGTGGCAGAGATGACTCCCTCTTATGGAGAGAAAAGTAATACTCACCCTGATGGTGAGAGAGTGTTTTTTAATCTCATGATATGAAGAGAGTTTTGAAATCATAAGTGTTGTGCATAATTTTATTTTCCAATATTATTAGCATGTATCATTTTCTTACAAGTATTTAATATAAATCTTTGAGGATGCATTCTAAGTTAATGGGAAAGAATATTAAAATTGCAGGTCTGTTTATATAAGGAGCTGGTATGGGTATCCTAAGTGGAGTCTTGTAGAAGGAGCTCATCTCCCTTTCCTAATCCACTTTATAAGCACATGTCTTCCACTAATGAGGCACCTAACATAAAATGAAAAAACACATTGTAACGAAGATTGAATGCTGCCACTTATCTTTCTTCATAGAATTGGTTGATGAAGCCTGGTGCCATCCAAACGTCTTCTTCTCCATAGAAGCTGTTGAGGGTCACTATGGACCTCTCTCTTCTCTAACTACTGAGTGGACAAAAGTTGAATGATAAGTAACAAATAATAAGTGAAAATGCTGTGAAAAAAGCAGATACAAAATTTGAGCCTCATCAAGATGTTCAGAAAATGGAAATTGTTTAATGAAAAAGGAAAAGAGAGGAATTTTCATTATGAGATAGCACATATAATTCATAGCAATTACAAATTTGAAGCAATTTAAGGGCAGAGCGATTCCGTGGTGAGGGGATGGCAAGAGTAACGGGCATTCATCGTGAGCCCACGGTTTTGAGCGGGAGCTTTGGATTTTGAATTTTTTTTACCTGAGAAAACGACATTAACTCTGTTAATTTGAAGGTGCCAATTGCTCCGTCTTTAATATATGAGGGATAAAATTATATCACTAAATATTTTAGAATGTTGAATGCATCTCAAAAAATAATTTAATATATTGGGTTCATCTTAAACGTTTATATTATTAGTTTTTTTGGAATTTAATCATTTTTGTTTTGTGTATATTAATAGTGTTATAACCAACAAAGAAATGCGGAGTACGGTTATTATGCAATGAGATATATGTATAAAATCAACGGTGGGGGCATCACCAACTCATTTCATAAGATAATGATATTTAATTAAACTTAGAAGACGATATTATAACCACCCATGAATGATGTAAATGACTGTCCTTTATTTTAAATTAAAAGATGGGAAAATGACATTTAAAGGCCATTGTAACAAATTAATTTATTTTAGGGACCACCAATTGATGAAATGACACACAACATGCATTATGCAAAGGATAGAGAGTGATGTTCATTGGACGACTACAGAGGACTACAATGGATGGTGAGAAAGACATTGATGATGCAGATGAAAGGAAGAAGGTGTGCGAAAGAAAGAAGGAAAAATAAGTTCGCTACCTAATATGTAATTAATGTATCTCTATAGATGGGAGGTTGTAGGTTTATCTTACTTATAATCTCAAATAATTTGTGTTGTCGTCTGATTCAAAACAAAAACTGAGTTTATTGTGTCCTTTTGTTACTAAGCAGGGGCCTTTTTGTCCTCACAGTCTTTTATTTTTCTCAGGGAGTTCATTTGAGTAATTTCAATAGTATGTGTTTCTAAAATGAATTAAGAATAGATCCTAAATGTCATTTTGGCTTAAAAGATGACATTCAAATTCGAGAGGCAACCATATAAAGCATAAAATCACACACACATATAAATTGGAAGATATATGATTGTTATCCTTAAATTTGCATTCAAATTAAAATTTTTTTTGATGATATTTATTAATAATAATAAATTACTACTATTACGAAGTGATACTATATATGAGTTTATCTATTGCTGTCAAAAAGCCTTAATGGCTTGATGGCATCATTTGCATTTCTTCGTATAGAGGTCGCAAGAATAATTCGTTTGGGAATTTGTTTTTAATTAGTGTTTTAAAAGATAGTAATACCTCTAAATTTATTTTTAGATGTTTTATTTTTTTTTCGTTTCTTATTTTTTGTTTTGAAAAATCTAGGAAACTCTCTTTTCTCCACTCAGCCACTGCCCACTATGTGTTCTTGTTGGCCACCGTTATCTCACCATCGGGTGTCAATTTAGCGAATGAAAATTAGTCATAGAAAATTTTATTGTAAAAAAATTTGCTACAGATTAGTGATGGAATGTTTTTCATCACTAAAGATTTTGTAACAGAAATGAATTCAGTTACTAATTCCGTCAAGTTATGGATATCCAAAATTTTCTCTTACTAATATCACTCTGAAAATGTTAAAAAAAATAACAATGTCGTCATTAGATATTAAAAATGTTAATGGTCAATATTGGTATTTTCACTGCCAATGTTTTTTTTTTTTACGGTTATGATGAATTTATTTCCTTTTTTAAACTTTCAGGATGATATTAATCCCAAAAAGTCTTCCATAACTCCTACCCAAAAACTTCCTAGGTATATTGGACTGTAACCTTGTTTTGTCTTAGATGATTGTACAAATACACACACGATCTTTAATTGTTTTTTTAAAAAAAAAAAAAAGACATGGTCCCTCCGTATGTGGTCCTCACTAAAGTTCCTGCCCATAAAATTTGAAAACTCTATCTGAAGTGTCATACCAAACGCGGTCAGGTGAAAAATAACTTTCAATAATGAGAAAAAAAAAATGATTATCGATGCAAAAGAACAAATAATATGTGGTCTCGTTTAATTTTCTTAAGAAAATGTACGGATTAATATATTTTAACTGAAAAATTTAGTGACAGATAATAATTAAAATCATCCCCACTATGGGATTAATGATATGGACTTGATAAAATATAGTTTAAAATAAGTAATAAAAAAAAGTGGTCCGATTATTTGTGCAAAATTTAAAGCAAACCTGTATGATTTCTCTTGTAAATTTTATTACATTATATAAGCATCTACTACTGATCAATGATGAACTCAAGCTTAAGTGGTTTTATTAGTTTTCTAGTTTGTTTTGCACTCAAAAGTAGTGATGGAGAAACTTGTTTCAAATTGGTACAAGAATGTTGGATCTGTGCCTGAGAATTACATATTTCCAGCAGAAACAAGACCAGGGAAGTTCCATGTTCCTATGGGTGAAGGCATCCCAGTGATTGATCTCAGTGAAGCTGAGGAAGGTCATCGAACACTTACAATTCAAAAAATTCTCAAGGCTTCTCAAGAGTTTGGATTCTTTCAGGTTCATGTTGTAACTATATATAGCATTTTTTTCCTTATTATTTTAGGAAAACAATAAGTTCTTAATATTGGTCCTTAGAATTGTGAACAACTTGGGTCAAGATCCTATAGGTGTTTCATTAATGAATCGATCTTTGGAATTATGATCAATTTTGGTTCAAGTATCTATGAAAATGATAAGTTATGGATGTAACAATATGCATGTCACTTGCATGGTAATTGAACCCAGAACCTCTCTTCTTTCTTTTCCATTCTCTTTCCTCTTTTTCCTTTTCCTAACTATTAGATTAATATTTCATCAGTTGAGATTTAAGCCTTTCTAAAACTATTATTAAAATATTAAATTATAAAAAATAAATGAATAATAATAAATTACAAACTATATTAAACTCTAGTTCTAATGCTTTGCAAATGCACTAAATATTTTTAAAAAATTTTTATAAATATTTTATAGAAAATTAAAATTTGAACCGTTAAAATATATTAATCCAATCATTAGAAAAAGAAGAGGAAGGAAGAAGATGGAAAGGAAAGAGGAGAGATTTCGAACCGAATAATATTTGGTTATAATAGGGATTTTGACCAAAGTTGACTATAATTTCAAAGATTATTTATTTCTTAATAAAAAAACTATAGGGATCTTGATGAGCCAAGTTGACCATATAGCTCTAGAGATCAAAAGCTATATTTGCCATGTTATTTTTAGGAAAAAATTATGTTTTGATTCCTATAGTTTCAACTTGATTGTAAAATTTAATTCTTGTGATTTTAACTAAATTGTAACTCGGTTCCTACGATATAACTATTTAAAATATTAGTCCCCATATTTGAGAAAATAAAATTATATACTCCTCTAGTCCTATTTATAAGGCACTTCCAACATGTTTCACACATACCAAGAAAAACCTGAAACTGCATTAATTTTTTTATTAAAATATAGCAACTTTCCACTCCTATTTAATATATATACCTTTCAAAATAATAACTATCTATACTATAATAAATGAAGGACCATATGGTACATTCATGGTAAAAATTTAATGAAGTGACTTATAAATAGGACAAAAAAAACCTTCTCTCTCTACCCTATAAATAGAACCAGAGAAGTATTTCATGAAACTTAGAGACTAAAGTTTTAAATGGTTAAAATTTAGGGACCAAGTTTCAAAAGTAAGTTAAATTCATAGGAACTAAGTTTCCCCAAATAAAAGTTTAAAGATTATATTTCAACCGATTCAAAATTATAAAGACTAAAAGATTAATTTTCTTTTATTTTCAGTATCTCTCTAGATTCATGCTTAAGATTTCCAATGGTATATTGTTAGAGAGCTTATATATATGTAGGTGATCAACCATGGGGTTTCAGAGAAACTAATGGAAGAAACAATAAATGTGCTGAAAGAGTTCTTCCAAATGCCAGACGAGGACAAGAAGCACCTGTATAGTGAGGATTTTAAGAATGATTGCATTCTATCTACGAGCTGTATGAATTATGGAAATGAGAAGGTTCATCAATGGCGAGACTTTCTGAAACATTCATGTCATCCTCTATACAAGTGGCAGAAATTTTGGCCTGAAAATCCACCTACATACCGGTAAGTTATGTGACCCTCTTCAATAAATAAAACTGTTCATCACCAACGGGGATTGGTCTAAATGGTAAGCAGCTTGGTATCTTTTAAGCGAGGTCTAAAGTTCAAGCCTCAGCGTATGCAGAAATCCCCATTGGAAGACTCACCCACCAGCCAGGAGCGCGACGCGGGTCGGATCCAAATGTAGTCAGAGCAAAGCTCCGTTGAAGTGGGTGGGCAACTGAAAAAAAAAATTGATATGAACATTAATTATTGCACTGCCTCCGATCCGCTACATAATTAATTTAAGGTTATTAAGGAAATTAGTTATTATAATAAATGTGTATTTACGTTTCTAAGTTACCATATTTAATTACATGCATTAGAACTACATCTTAGTTGAAACCCTTTACAATCAAAGGGATAGTTGGTGGGGGAATTATAAAATTCGAAAATAAAGTAAATTGAAATATGGGAAAATCCCAAAAAAGGTCTTTGGAATATAGGAAATTCCAGATTGGGTCCTGGAATTTCGAAAATGACAGAAAGGGTCAGTGACCCAATGTGTCATTTGTAAAATCAAGAGGAATTGACAATTTGGCCCTCATTTGTATTCATTCACTACAATGATTTAAGGAATCATTATAAGAGTTTAGGCGTTACCTAGATTTGTGTAGCGAATGACTATTCACTTTTTCATAGTCAGGTGTCTTGTTATTAACTACAACTAATTTTGTAATCACTAAAACAATGTAAGCATTACTTAGATTCGTGTAGCGAATAACTACTCATTTTTTCATAGTCAGGTGTCTTGTTATTAACTACAACTAATTTTCTAATCACTAGACAATATAAGCATTATCTAGATTTGTGTAAAGAATAACTACTCATTTTTTCATAGTTAGGTATCTTATTATTGTTAGGTACCTTATTATTAACTACTACTAATCTTATAATCACTAGAACAGTGTAAGCGTTACCTAGATTTGTTTAGAGAATAACTAGTCACTTTTGCTTAGTCAGGGGCAAAATTGTCAATTCACCTTAATTTCACAAATGACAGATTGGGTCAATGACTCATTGTGTCATTTTCGAAATTTAAGGACCTAATCTAGAATTTGGTATATTCCAAGGGCTTTTTCTGGGATTTTCCCTTGAAATATAATATTTAGGCTAAATCTAATTTCTCAACTCATTCTTATATTAAAAACCAAAGTTAGTATATAAAAGTTGTAAGAAACCACATTAACACTGTTATAAACCCCTTCCATGTTTTCTTAAGCTTTGATTAACAGCTTTGTGTACATTAAAAAAATTAGCTAAAATTAGTTCTTTTATGTAAAATATCAAAATTATTACTCTTAATAAATATTATTAGAGGAGTTAGGATGCTTTGCATAGTTAATTAGTAAGGGGTCCTCTAGATATTAAAAGAAATTAATACTTAACAAAGCATAGTATATTATACCACTATGATCCTAAATGTAAATCATTTGTAGTATATTTATTGATTATTTTCTAATTTTACTCTTATTAATTCTCATTGGAAAGAGAGAAAAAGTGAGAGATATAAAAATGATTTATAGATGTAGAGAGAGAGAATTTTAATGAGGGTAAAGTTAGAAAATGTTATCAATTTGTTGCATTAATTGATATACAAGAATGTGTTTTAAGTAACTTATATTGAAATCAGAGTGCTAAATGAAACATGCAATATTCTTATAATAAAAAAGTGGAGGGAGTGCCCCAATTATAATTAACCTAGCCCAATCCGAAAGGATTATTATTTCAGAGCAAAAGGGACGTATAGGATTGTCTTTCCATTAAAATAAAATGACTATAAAATAGCTTAAGCCGATTTGATGAAGCTCACCTTAATCATATATACTTGCAATTCATTCTCCAATTAATCAATGTGTGGGTAATTTTTTAAGTATAGCTTTTCTCAAGCTCCACGTACGCAACATGCAACGCACACTAGTCATACTTCTATTTAAGAGCTAATGTATAAATTTATCCTGAAAGTTTTCATTAAGCAATACTGAATATTCAAAAGTTTTTTTAGGTGCATTGAAAGTTTAAAATTGTAGTCAATATTATCCCCTATCGTTATAAATATTAATGGTGAGCATTACTATGTTAGCAATTAACATTAGTTTTTTAACGGTATCAAACAATATTACTATAATTTTAAATTTTTAGGACAAATTTGTAACAAAAAAAACTTTCAGGTATTCAACATTCATGATTGAAAATTTCTAGAGTAAATTTGCACCTTAATCTTCTATTTGATTGATCGGTTTCAGTTTCACAATGACTAAGTCTTACTTGATCTCTTCTTGTTGCTATCATCATCAGAGAGATTGTGGGGGCATGTTCAGTTGAGGTTAAGAAGTTGAGTTCAAGGATCCTGGGGCTCATCGCGGAAGGCCTTGGCCTGGAAAGTGGATATTTTGAGGATGAACTAAGCGAGCACGTGGCACTGAGCGCTCATCAATATCCACCATGTCCTGACCCAACTTTGACTCTGGGCACGCGCGTCCATGTGGACGCTAATATCATTACCATTCTTCTTCAGGACCATGTGTACGGCCTTCAAATCTTTAAAGATGACACATGGCTTGGCGTTCCCCCTAATCCACATGCATTTGTCGTTAACATTGGCACCTTCTTGCAGGTAACACATTTCTATTTCCATTGGGTGCGTTTGGTCTTTGTCTGGTTTTGTTGGAGGAGAAGGAAGGAGAGGAATTTTAACTGATCCCTTGTCTGGTTTAAGAAATGAGAGGAGTGGTCAAATTTGATCTGAATAGTTAACAATAACTAAAATGAAGAAAACCTTTATAACAAATTTTAATAGCTAGTATGTAGTTGTGAACGATTTAAATTTTAATTATATGTTCCTATCAAATTTTAATACTTTAAATTTATTTATATATTTTCAACAATAATAATTGCATTAAATATTAGATATAATTAAAGGTGATCGATGTGATGGGAAAAGGGACGGTAAAGAAAAGGAGAGAAGCCAAAATCTCATGTGAGAATGCAGCTGGTCCTTATTAACCCAAAATTTAAAGAGGTTGTTTGCACAAAATAGTAAAGAATTAAGAAAATATATACGGTCAAGATCGTATACTTTTTGTGAATTAGTGAAGGCTAATTAACAGTAAAGTTAGACGGGGAATTTGCTTTGGTGTTAAATATAAAAGCTTAATCAATTTTATCTGTCAGATTTATTTTTATAATTTTTTTAAAGTATGCCCATAAATTAGACATAATAAGGAAGTTTTTATTAATGAATAGTTACAATACACATGATTAGAAATGATATTATAAGAAAACCAGTACACATTTATTTCAAATAATTAACTAACTTTTTTAATATCTACAAATCAATTATCTAACTCGTTCTTATATTAAGTACCAGAGACAATATGATAAGATATCATTGATTAGATACTGTGTGTGCGTGCAGGTAATCAGTAATGATAAACTAAAAAGTGTGAAACACAGAGTTGTGACAAATACGAGCAAGTTTCGAGCATCAGCTGGGTTTTTTGTGAGTGCTTTAGAAGACACTGTAATAAAACCAGCAAGAGCTGTTACTGATGAACTCAATACCGCCATCTACAAGCCCTTCACTGCCAAGGATTTTATTATGCACTACTTCCAAAGTGACGGTGACATCGAAGCAACGTATAATCATTTCAGAGCATAGCATACATCAAGCTCGCTGAACATGGATCAGAAGAAGAATTTCAAATATTTGATTCAGATCTTCATCTGACTGGAGTACTTTAGAAGTATTACTACCTCTAATCTTTAATATAAAAGTTAGTTAGTAGGTTGGATTTGGTTCTAAATATTAGACATCAGTTTACTTTGTCTCCCAAATTTGGAATTCATTCTCTAAAGTATTGATTACACATGTTAAGGGAATTTCCATCCAAGGATAGTTTCAGGATTAAAAAGGATAATATAATTTAGGAAGATTGACTCATCATATTTGTTATAAATAACTAATTTGATTTATTTCTTTAATCTACTCAAATTAGTTAAGTAACTCTTATATTTAATATCGGAGGTATAAGTTATTATACTTTTTGTGTGTGTTAAAAGAAGCCCCAACCTCCTTATAAATTAAAGGGAGCCTTTAGTGTATATAAACTAAGACATGAACAATATTAGGAAATGGGTTATGGAGAGGACGACAATGTTTAATGGGATTTAGTTTTAATGACTAATGACTAATTAGTTATAGTTCTAGGTAATATAAACACATCCATTCAATTTTAATTTGTTAAATAGTTAAGACTTTATGTAAGTCTATAAAAGACTTCATGTAAGTGGAAATTTTTTGAAAAGAAAAACATAAAAAGTTTGGGAGAGGGTGGCTATGGATTTTATAGAGGGACTTCTTAAATCTTTTGGAAGAAAATACTCTTTGGGCCATTATTAATCAATTGAGCAAATATGCTCATTTTATTCCTTTTTTCACATCCATTTTTTGCTACTACTTTAGCTTAGGATTTTCATTGATCAAATATACAGGTTACATAGAGCACCTACTGAAATTATAAATGATTGTGACCCCTTATTTGTAAATAATTACTGGAAAGAGTCCTGAGAGTATTGGGAGTTTACTAAAAACTTTCCTTTGCCTACCACCCTCAAACAAATAGTCAATTAGAGTTGCTTAACCTCTATTTGGAAACATATCTATGATGTGTGTATTGGGAAAGACCATATTAGTGTAATTGGGTTGCACAAATTGAATGGTGGTATAATACATCATTTCATTCAACTGCAAAGTCTTCCCTATAAATTGTTATATAGGCAGAAACCTCCTATCCATTCACCCTATTTACCCTATAATTCAGTCTTAGATGTAGTGGATAGAAGCTCTAAAGCAAGAGAGGAAATAACGGGACTTCTCAAGTATCATTTGCATAGAGTTGCAAACATTATGAAGCAAATGGCTGACAATCATAGAATTGATAGGGGTTTGCTATTAGGTAGTGAGTTTTTCTTAAATTGCAGCCATATGGAAGAGCTCAGCTACCTTTAGTAGTTCACAAAAATTAGCTCCTAGGTACTTTGCTCCTTACAATATAATTGGCAAAGTAGGGGTTGTTGCTTATAGGTTGGAATTACCTCTAGATTCAAAGGATGCATCCTTCTTTTCATGTATCTTTATTAAGTTATGTCCAAACTCTTCTGTTAAGCCTAGACACCCACCTCCTAGTTATCCTAAAGTTCCTCAACACTAGTTCTAGAGAAGGTTATAAGCAAGAAGAAAAAGAAGAAAAAGGATGATAGACGTACTTGTGCATGGCAAGGTTAACTAGATGAGCAAGCATCGTGGATGCCACTCTATAATTTCTAGCAACAATTTCCAGTCTTTGTGATTCTAGATCCTTGAGGGCAAGGATCCTTTTGGGGAGAGGGGTATTGATATATAATTGTAATTAAATTTAAATATTACAAGTCTGTAATGGTTACTAGCCATTAGATAGAGTTATGTTATAGTTTGTTAAGTTTGCTAGGAAGTATTTTAGATAGGCATATTGTATTATCAATAGAAAAACAAGGATATCCAAATGTATGATTGACTGCTCAGGTTAATGAAGTGAATTATTTAGATACGTTTTCTATCTTCTCCCGTTTCCCCCTTGTTGTTCAACTGTCCCTATTTTTTCTTATCTTCTTTGTTCTTCCTGACTTCTTTCCTTATTCAAACTCTTTGTTTTTCCTAATACTTTCTATTATATTCTATTTTCTTTATCAATAATCTATCAGTGGTATCTAGAGCCAATCTCCTTGGCATTAACTTTATATGCACATGCTGTTAATGGTGCTTACCTATGGTTAAGAACCAACAATCATGGAAGAGTGCCAAAACCAAATAGAAAAACATTTAGGCACCATTGATGAGCTCTAAGAAATAGTCTTGGGATTCAATACATAGTTGCAAAACTTGTTTGAGACTTTAGAGGAGGTATCATTGTGACCTAGGATCATAATCACAATCAACACCAATAAATCAATCGCAGAGGATCTAGATACAACTATCATCATTTGAGCCACTATACAAAAATAGAATTCTTGAACATTAATGGGTCTGGCATGCCCACATGGATCGCAAGGTATGAAGATTCTTTGATTTTGACGAAACCCTAGAAGCTTCAAAGGCAAAAGTCACATCAATGGATTTGGATGATAAGAATTTTCAATGGCATCTTGTGATAGAGAAACAATGGAGAAGACATCCATCCATCGTGTTGGGAAGAGTATGTTGAGCTACTCAAAGACACCTTTGGAGCCTTGTTTGACACTCCCATGGTTGATTTCACTCACCTGCATCAAATGAGTTCACTAGCTGAATTTAATACTGAGTTCGATGCAATTACAATGAAGCTCGATCTCCCTGATGAATATTTAGTGGAAGCATACGTTTCAACTCTCAAGCAAGAAATCAAGGCCTTTGTTCAAATATTCAATTCAAGAACAATGCATGAAGCAAGAAGACTTGCGAGGATGCAAGAAGTTGCCCTCTCAAAGCTAAAAAATAAAAACGTGTCCTCTAAACCTACAGCGCACCTGTCTGTGACAAGCTAGATGACATCTTTTGCCCTAAACACATCAACTCACTCCAAGAACACTTTCTTGAGTAGTGGTCCCAGTAGAAAGATAAGTTAAAATTTCTTTGATAAAAATTATTCTTCCTTGATCAAAAGACTAGTTAAATGAGTGAAACTTTTATTTACAGAAGAGGAAGCTAAACACAGGGCCAAGAACTTGTGCTTTTTTTGTCATGAGTAAGTTTCAAATGAATGAATGCCCTCAATGCTAGAAAGTACAACTTCACTTTGTTGTTTTAGAAGAAGAAGAAGAAAAGATGGAAGGAGAGAACCTTGAGTCAGAGGAGATTGATAATTCAACGATCAATTAAAAAGCATGCCATTCAAATTTTCATTGATAGTAGTGGTATATATGATTTCATAGATCTTGGGCTTGCCAAGAAACTGAGTTAGTAGGCTAATTCAAATGAGATGTCTTTTGTATCAATAGCTCATGGGAAGAAGCTGAGAGTGTATGGAATTTGGAAGGGTCTCTATTGGAAGATACAGGGCTTCTAGTTTGTCTTTCATTTCAAAATTTCAAATCTCAAAACTTATGATTTAGTTCTTGGTTTAAAATGGCTTAGAAGTTTCAAAAACACTTAAGAAGTAGGTTGAGGAACTATTGGAAAAATGGTTTATCTGACCTCGTATTTCTCCTTGGAGTGTTTCGGTATTGTTTGTTAAGAAGAAAGACGGTAGTCTAAGGTTATGCATCGACTGTTAGGAGTTGAATAAGGTGACGGTTAAGAATAAGTATCCGCTTTCTTGAATTGGTGATCTACTAGACCAGTTAGCAGGCATAATTGTGTTCTTTAAGATTAATTTGAGGTCAGGATACCATCAACTTTGAATTAAGGTGGAAGATCTTTCGAAGACTGCCTTTAGGACCCGATATAGGTATTATAAGTTTTTAGTAATGCCATTTGGTTTGACAAATACACCTTCTATTTTTATGGGTTACATAAACCAAATTTTTGGACTGTATTTAGATTAGTTTGTTGTAGCCTTTATAGATGACATTTTAGTGTACTCTAGAACTTTAAGGAGCATGAATGACATCTGACGATTGTTCTGAGTACTCTAAAAAAAAAAGCAACTGTTTGCCAAACTTAGTAAATGTGAGTTTTGGCTGAACGAAGTGAAATTTTTAGGTATTTCATAGGAAGGGGTAGCTATCAATCCCAGTAAAATAGAAGCCATGCTGTAATGGGAACAACCTAAGCTATTACTAGAGGTTTATTTAAGAATTTTCTTGTATTGCCCAGCCACTGACCAGACTTACCAGAAAGAACCAACCATTTAGATGGGATATAAACTGTGAATCCAGTTTTCAGGAGCTGAAAAAGAGGCTGACTTTGACTCTTGTGCTGATTATACTAGACCCTATATAGACTTATATCGTGTACACTGATGCTAGTAAGCAAGGACTAGGATGTGTGTTAATGCAGTAAGGAAGAATAGTTGCCTATGCTTCACAGCAGCTCAAGTCACATAAAGAGAATTATCCTACATATGATCTAAAACTAGCAATGATAGTATATGCCTTAAAGTTATAGAGGCATTACTTATATTGGGTATCTATTAAACTATACTGTGATCGCAAAAGTCTCAAATATCCCCAAGACTAGAAAGAGTTGAGTATGAGGCAACGAAGATTGATGGAATCACTGAAAGACTATGATTACTATATCAAGTACCATCTGGGCAAAGGTGGCCACCACGTTAAATAGAATGGTAGTGCAGGTGGGATAACTAATGATTAAAGAATATGAATTGCTTAAGGATGTGAGAGACTGGGGCCCTATTTATTAGATGTAGTTGATGACAGAAGAAGCTAGAACATTGCCAGTAGACTCTTTGATAACAGAACATATCATGGAGGCACTAAGATAGGATCTATTAGCAAAGTAATTGTTAGAAAAGATGTTGAAGAGAGAAATGATGGATCTTGAAGTATCCATAGAAGGAGTATTAAAGTTTAAAGGAAGAATGTATATCCCTTCTATTAAAGATCTCAGAGAGAACATTCTGGATGAGGCACATAAATTCAAATACACGATTTATCTAGAAATG